TAAATATTATATTTTTATTTTGATTATATCCGTCTGAAATCTACTGCAATTTTAGTATAAATTTCAATTTAAACTCTATATTTAATATTTTACATGTCATTTTCGTATTTTTCAAAGTGAGTGAAAGGAAGATCATAGAAAATGTGCAAATAAATGGCGATTAAATCATCATAGGGATTATTTATTTTTTTTGAAAAGAAATATTATAAGTTGCTAATAATATACGTCTACAAACAGAAAATTCACCGTAAAATTCTATTAAAACTGTACAATTCAAATTTTAAAAGTCACTTTCGCTCACTTTCGTCAAAAATGTCACTTTCGTATTTTAGGCATACCGCGTTTAAGTAAATCTAAAGAACGAAAATTAAACATGGGGCGAAAGGGAAAAGAATTAACGCCCGAGGTAAAAAAAAATTGCTGAAAAATTATTTGAAGAAGGTAAAACAATTGATTTTGTATCAACTACTTTAAATGTGCCTAGATCGATGGTTGGAAGTTTAAAGAAGCGAATTGAGCACAGAGATTCTATAGAAAATATTCCAAGAAGTAGTAGAAAACCAACTGTGACAGCAAGGGAGTATAGGAGGTTAGAAAGGTTAGTTAAAAGTAATAGGAGAGACAGTTTACAAGATATAACGACTAAATTTAATGAAAACAGAGACAGGCCACTAGCTAAAAGGACATTACAATTTCATTTACATAAGCATGGATTTAGGCGACGAGTAGCAAGGAAGAAACTGACTATCCGGGAGGTAAATCGTAGGAAACGGTTGTCATGGTGCCGAGAAAAGAGGAAACTTACTGTTGAAGGTCAATGGAAGATAGTAATATTCTCTGATGAGTCAAAAATTGTTGTTGGGAAAGATTCTCGGATATATATCTGGAGAAAAAGAGGCAAGGGGTGGAGACCAGACCTGGCCGGTACTCGACGCGTCAAGCCATGCTTCGAACTAATGATATGGGGGTGCATTACCTGGTACGGGGTTGGAACTTTAACAGCCGTAGATGGCAAAATAAATGCTGAAAAATATTAATCTATCCTCGACGACAACTTGTGGCCAGTTATCGCACGTCATTTTTCAACTGGGGGCTTTATTTTTCAAGACGATAATGCCCCAGTCCACAGCGCCCGTTCAACCCAGGAATTCCTTTAATGGAATAATAGGAATAACATAAGTTGATTTATTCTGCATTATTTTATTCTACATAGTCTCATGGGTACACACTTGCAACATAGATATTTCTAACAAAGCCTCCAAAATATTAGGGCAAAATATTTCAATAATTAGAAGGGCAAGTAAAAGTTGAGCTGGACTGGTCTTTCAGCAAGTTCTTTGAAAAATAACACTGAAAAACAGTTGTTTCTAGTGAGCGACTCAGGGCCATCATGGCCCTCTTGTTATTTTCTTCTCAGGTGCATGTTTGTGCCTGAAATAAGGCATGAAGGGGCACGTGAGGTCTTTCTCCACCTGCTGGAAGGTCACCGTGTGACCTTTCAGGGCTACAGATAGCATTTTGTGTATATTGGGTAATTACCCCTTGTTTTGTGATCTATTGATTTTTTTTCTTTTTTCTTTTAGTTATTTCTGTATTTTTTACCCTACCCCCTCTAGCCAATTTGGGTTATAAAGCACGAGTTCATGTATTTACCCAAAATTTCTGACCTTCATTGTAGACTTGTAGGTTTTGTATGTTTATAAAAAAGCTACTTACTATTTTGCTTAATGGTTTATTGGCCTAGGAGATTTCTAAGCTGCCTGATATAATTTAAAGATTAAAACAGTCTGAAACAGTATGATCTGCCTAATGTAAGCGTTAAGAAATAACACACGTCATTACGCACCAGTTCAAATGTAGTTTGCATAAATAAGAATTCATTTACTTTTTCTTAACCTTAGTTATTATTTCTATTGGGTTTTTAGACATTTTGATTGGGTAATAACGCAAATACGCATGTTATCTGCAGCCCTGTCCTTTACAGTTTTGGTGGGATGTAAAACTTAACTTATACATATTTTATGCTCATCTTTGAGTAAAAGAAATTATTGAATCTATGAAATATTACTGAATATGTCTTATTTGAATAAAAGAATGTACAAACTATGTATGGGAAGCTGCATTTCCTATTGAAGGTCAAATTTAGTTGGTCTTTTTATAATTGAAACAGTGCCAGGCTTTTAATGGCACTTCATATTCATGTTGAGGTCTTATAGTGTATAGAGTTTGATATATAACATATACACTGTATCTACTTTTTGTCACATAGAAATTTTCAATATTTTCAAATATTTCAAATTTGAGCATAATATATCTTAATTGATTATTAATGTTCAAAAAAGGAATAATTTAGTCAAATGTTTTGTTAGATTAAGTTATTTAAATAATAGGCAAAATTCAAACACAATCATGAAATATAATTGTTTTATTTATAGTTAATAATGCTGACAATTAACAGTTTTATAAGAAAATTTTTTAAATCATGAAATTAGTTTCTAGTTAATAATACATACAACTATAAAACTTGCAGTGATAGTACAATAAACACTTAGTTAAAAGTTTAGTTACATTATCATCAAGTACACTTGATGTTGTATAAGCAACAGAGAAATTACAACATACCATGGTATAGTTGACTGTATAAATTGAGAATTAAAAAGTTTTCAGAAATATTTAAGAATTGAATCAGCATGCCATGCCTTCTATAAAACTTCAATAACTGGTTTGGTTAGTAACAATTTTGAAACAAATACAAATGAAATGATTTGACATAATCTCTAGCACTGATTATCAATATAAATATTCCTTTTGTTATTATATATTCCTGTCAGGTTATATTGCCTTTTAAAATACTGCGCGTTTGTAACGTCATTTTTCATTGGATAATCGTAACGTTTATATAGTTTTATATACACCGCTGCTGTCGATTCATGAATTGTTGACAGGTTATATGGCCGACTATAAACGGCTGTTTGCAATATAATCCTTGCCAAATGGCTTGGGTTATATTTACAAATAGCCATTTATAAAGGGGCCATATAACCTGTCAACGATCGTTATAACTAATAATATAAATGTTTTCCTGTCAGGGTATATATCCTTATATAAATGATTGTTTTGCAATAGGCGACTAAGGTTATATTTACTAAAAACAACATTTATATAGGGGTTTCTTATATATAAAACCTGAAAAAATTAATTATGAATGATATAACGTGTAGAGGGATCTGGAAGAAAGAGAGGAGGAGTTATCAACCATGAAAGATGAACTTAGTAACACAAAAGTTGAGTTAGATAGTAATAAAGGTCAGTTACTCATTACCAAGGATACAGTACATAAACTTACACAAGATATAGGATCTATTTTTCAAGCTAAACAGGAAATATCAACACCGTTTTATTGTGTTGTTATATCCAAATGATGTTATGCTTATGCTTTTAAGACTAAAGGTTTTATTCTCAATTAAACAATTTTCCATGAATGTAACTTGAGTAAATTCCTATGCACGCCAAATTCTTGGTGATTTTATGGCCTGATTTTCAAAAACTCTAAAAATATTTATGCCTCCTAGATAGATAGAAGTCATTCCACCTCCAGACTTCAAACTTCACGCGTCAAAGCACTTGATTTTAAAGGTCAATGTTTTAGGTTTAGGTTAAGGGTAAAATAAAAGTTGATATTGCTGGTATGGATAGCTTGGATCACATCATTTGAAAAAAGGTTTTGCAGGAATATAAGTTATAGCTTGTTCATTTCTTTCTTACTGTCCTGCTTTTTCACATTTTTGTCATACCTTTTATATCCTTGTATTTATCAATACAGATAGGAGTGTGGTTATATGAATCTTTGCAGCATTATTTCTCCCCCTTATATTGAGTGACATCAAATAACACTGTAAAGCGTCTCCAGCTCTACCTTCTTGTTCCATGCATTTTCCTAGAAGATTTAGATCTGTTTCCCGGTGTCCAAGGTTTGGTTCCTCTTTAATGGTTCTGATAAGTTTGAAGAGCGCAGCTTGTTTCTGGTCATGTCTTCCTAAATGGCTGTAATTTTTGTATTGTAGAAAGTAGAGGTAAGGGAGGGAGTCCACCACAGCACAACCCATCCAGTCATCATCTTCTGTAAGAAATATTCTGTCCTCTTGTGTAGATCTAAACATTTCATATCTGAGTTCATGTGGTACACAGTGAATTTCGCATGGCAGATATCTAACACATTGTGCTGTTGTATACTGTAAGATTTCTTCATCATAAATGTCACATAATTTAAAGAATATTTGTCTTGATGATTTTGAAACAAATGTATTACAACTACAGGCAGGCTCAACAATTTGTAGATCATATCTTTTTTCAATCTCACTGAGTACTAGGGCTGCTTTTTGTATTTCTTGAACACAGTATAGGATTGAAGCTAGTTTCAGTTTACTTGATGCAACATCTGTATTCAGACCAAGTGAGATGAGTTTGAGGGCATCTGCTGATACAGTGTTGTACTGATTTATGTTGATAGAAGCCAGGACAGATCCAAGTTTTTTACAGTCCCAAATGGAAACTTTTGATGACTGGTGCCCTTACCCAAATTTCCTTCATATTGACAGTTGACTGTTTTTTTGATACAATTTCCCTTTAAATTTTTTTAACGGGCTTCATGAGGACACTGTTTTTTAAGAAGTTTTTAAGTTTTATAAATGTTCTTAGTAAAACAAAAACCCAAATTTTTAATATTTAGTGTTTCCCTGAAATATCGTCACTTTTCTTGATTAGACATAAGTTATAAAACTTGAGATGAAGCCTGGAACCAAGATCATCACATTTAATCCCAAGTAGTGCCACTCCTTCACTGTTGATGATATTGTTGAGAATTTCCAGAATATATGGTTTGACTGCAGGTGAAATTTTTCCCCTCATTAAATTGTTCCCAGGTATGATAAAATGTGGACAATTTTCATTAATAATATTGTTGTACAGGAGATATAAGCACATAGTGATAGACAAGAAAGTAAATTATTTTCTCTCCAAATGTTAGAATTTGTATTGGAAATACAGTGGAAGAGTACAGTTTTACACATAAAACTTGAAATAACATCTTTAAACAATGGATTTATAAATGTTTTTAAAATAATTTTCATTAAGACATAACAGCGAATTGTGTTAATATTCAGGTTGAACATTAAACACCTTTCAGCTAAAGATGTTGATATTCTCCATTCAAGTTGCTCATGTTCACTGCCACTACATCCAACAGCAACAACAAAGCATCCCGTTTTGCTGCAATATTGTTTCATTTCATCAGACGGCCATTGACCTTCACCTTGTTGTAGTAACCATTGTCTAGCTTGTTGCGGCCATGTTGCACAACTTAGAGCAAACACATTATCTCTATCACAGTAGCCCTGTGGTCCTGTATATGCTCTTGCTGGCCCATGTATTTCTGAACCTAATGCTGTATTAATAGATACTATAGAATTTTTTAAAAGTAATTTTCCTGTTCTGTCCTTGAATAAGTATTTACTAGATTCACCATCAAGAGGAAGAGGAGCATCTTTTCTCAGCACTTGAAGTAAACAATATCCAGGAGATACAGAATTATCTTGAATCATCAAATGATTATATAGACCATGTATCCAGTTACTCCAGTCTTGTATCACATGGAATAGTTTATAACAAATAAGTTGATCTAGGTCTGATTGCATTCCAAGTGTTGTTGTACCTTCAGATTGACTCCCGAAAAAGTATGTTATGCATTTTTGATCAAGTAATTGGTAACTTATATTTGCTATTGATTCTTCCAGAAGAACTGTTCTTCTCCTCTTCATCACTATTCTCTCATCGACACCTATATCAGCCAGAACCTCTGATAATCTCATTGACACAGTCTGTGTGTAATTTGGTACTTGATACATTCTGAAATTTATTTAAAGTTCTAAACTTTTATAAAGTTTCTGACATATGTAATTTCTTTACTGATAAACTGATTTTCCTTTTTTAGATCACCACATTCAGGTTATTATTGTTTATTGTTAAATTGTTAAATTGTCCTTTCGGTAAAATTGTTGTAAAATAAGTTCTTATCATCAGCTTCATCATAATAATTTTTTAATGCATTATTAAATATTTTAGATGATTTTGTTTTGTGAAAATTGATTTGCATAAATTCTTTTTTATATAAGCTATGAAATGAAAGCTATTATCAGATACAAAATTTTAAATAATTTTTTTTTTAATCAACATTTAACTTAAATGTTGATTAAAAAAAAATCTTCAGATTTAAACAAAAAAGTAATGATTCAATGATATTATTGTTTTACAATTATGACTTAAATTTTAAGTCATAAGTGTAAAACAATAATATCATTGAATCATTACTTTTTTGTTTAAATCTGAAGTTTTAATTAAGACAATAAAATCACTATATTTTCAATATTTTAAAAGCTAAATATTTTTCGATAAATTTCCCAAATGTTAAATCTAGGATGTTGGTTTTTATTTGTTTGGGTCGTCAGACCAAACAAATAATGGTAGCGAAATTTCAGACTCTGATGCTGTCCATTGCAAATGCCGAAAGTAGTCCGCTTTTTTGAAGCGGTTACTTCCCTTCATATGTACACTAACGCCGAAAATGCAAGGGAGATCACTGCGTAAAGATTGTCAAATGACAGGCGCATTAATTTCCAAGCAAAATAGTTCCTGAATGGTCGAAGATTTCTAATAATGTTTTATTCTTTATAGATATACATGCTTATTGAGAGCTCCATGATAATTAACATCTGTGTAAAACAACAGGTTTAGCGTCGAAATAATAAGTTACAAACCCTAATTTAGAATAATATGGTTTTCTTCGGGCCCTTACCATATAACTTCACCGTAGCCGAGGGGTTTGCACGCTAACTTAGGAATCGACAGGTCTGGAGTTCAAATCCCAGTTGAGGCAACTCATTTTTTTAAATTGTTTAAGTTAAATAAACATTGAATTGGATATCAGTGATGCAATTAGTCTTATAGTCAATTTACTATAGTTAAAACACTGGAAGCATTGGTGGCACTATACAAAAACAAATTGATTTATAATCTCACAACCTTCACCTGAGACCAAAACAAATTCAGCGCCTTCTGTGCTTTGATTTTTAATGATTTAAAAATTCTCTTCTCATTCGCTTTAAATCTTAAGAAGATAACTCTTTTTTACACTTGACTTCTGACATTTGTTATCTCCCTTTGAGGACAGAATTATTTGTATTATTCTTCACAAATAAATTCTGCTCTGTCTTTATTAATTTGACATGCCTTTAAATTTGTTAACTACAGTTGTAATTGAAAACTGATCAGCAAATACATGTTTGTGAATTAAGTATAATGTTGCATACAATTAAGATATTCAACACTGTACTAGATACATGCTTCATGTATTTGTATCCCAAAGAGTTATAATAGTTTTAAAAAAAGTTTATTTTACAACTATTACTTTGTACGCTAATTTCTTTTTATTTACTAACTAATCTAAAACATCCAATACAATTAAAACATTGCAAGAAAAATCAACAATTTCAACAAGGTGACACCTTGTCAAGGTACATTGATAATCTACACATCATGCTTATCACAATAAAACAAGGATATTGATTAAAGAAATATCTTTTTTCATATATATCCACATTGATTTTTATTTAATTATAGCCAGACAGCGCAGCTTGAATTTCTTAATGAGTTGTCTGACATGAATATACAGGTGTTTTTGCCCTTTCCATTTAAAAACTACAGTTGTAAATGCTATCTTATCTATCTTATATATATTATTATACAGGGTCTCTTCTTGCCCTTTTCATTAAACGTTACAGTTGGATGTGCTATCTATTTTTAGCTCACCTGTCACAAAGTGACAGGGTGAGCTTTTGTGATCGCTTTTCGTCCGGCGTCCGTCCGTCGTCCGTCCGTCCGTCGTCCGTCCGTAAACTTTTGCTTTAAATGACATCTCCTCATAAACCACTGAGCCAATTTCATCCAAACTTCACAGGAATGTTCCTTTGTTGGTCACCTTTAAAAATTGTTCAAAGAATTTAATTCCATGCAGAACTCTGGTTGCCATGGCAACCGAAAGAAAAATCTTTAAATATCTTCTTTTAAACAACCCTTAGATATTTGGCATGAAACATCTTCTAATGAGTGTCTACCAAATTTGTTCAAATAAAAGCCCTGGGGTCAAAATTGGCCCCGCCCCAGGGGGTCATTGATTTTCCCTATATGCATATAGTAAAAAACTTAAAAAATCTTCTTTTAAAGAACTGTAAGAGCTAGAGCTAAGATATTTGGCATGAAACATCTTCTAGTGAGTATCTACCAAGTTTGTTCAAATAAAAGCCCTGGGGTCAAAATTGGCCCCGCCCCGGGGGGGTCATTGATTTTCCCTAAATGCATATAGTAAAAA